ATTTTGTTTCTTACATTTTTCCTTTGTTTCCTGAATATCTCTTAAATACAAATGGTCTGTTTGTTTTTAAAGAAGCAGTGAAACTACACAATTCAGCTCTGAAGTCCATGAAATGAACATATTTCAATAGTTATAGTTTCAAAAACAAAGAATCCTTCATCCCCATCGAAAATATTAACCCAAATATCATATCAGAGATTTAATAGAGCAGTCTTCATAATGCAGGATACTACTATGTCCATCTGTAAATCTCTCTATCTTAGAAGTATCAAATATAGAATAATAGTTACCTCAAATATTCATTCAATATAAAAATGAAAGAAAATTCCAGATGCATATAAAACAGGCACTAGCACTACAGAAGCACTTTCAGCTCCTGAGGCCACTGGATTTTAGTTTTAAACTTTAAGTTATTTCATCAAAGAGTATATTTGCACATGCATTCTTTTATTTGCTGCTAAGTTTCCTCAAAAACCTAAAGCCTCATGAGTGGTATATTTTTAGTAGCACCCATACATGTTTCTTATGTTATATATTCCAAGCAGTGAATATGAATTTCAGGTGCATTAAGCCACAGCAGTACATATAGTCAGAGTAATAGTGCTATTTTTCAAGAACTGTTTTATATGATTTTACAAGCCTAGAACAAAGCAGCATGCCTAGTCTGCCTAGTCCAGGTGGGGACTAGTTTCATAGAGAAATAAAAACCAAACTAAACTTCCCAAACAGAAGGACATACACCATACTCTTTCAACTAAAATATCAAAGGACAAGCAAATGAAATTCTGTTGTGACTAGTTACCCCAGATTCACAAATATCACTCTTTTAATTCAAAACCCAAAACTCAAGACATTATCAACTCTGGAGGTGACTGACTGCTGTGAATCTTTTCCTACACTCCAGCTGAACACATGGGCTAGTAAGTGATGAGTTGTCTTCTCCACCGTTGCAGCTGGTGAACTTACTGCAGCTCACAGTCCTCGTGTTACAACTTGCATCTAATGGTCTCAGCTTGATATATCACTCCTCTCCCATTCTTCCTTACCCATTCTAAATCCTGAAAATCCTTCTTCCCCTGCACAGGGAAGCCCAGTCTTTGGCTCGGTGTCTGCCATCCCTGACTCCCACTCCCAAAGCAAGTTATACTGAAAGCACAGCAGAGTGTTGATTGTCTGCATTCGAAGAAAGATACTAAAGCTGATGGCAAGTGCTATGAGTTTTGATGATGCAGTATTGGCTATCTTAAAATTATTTTTATTAAATGTAATAACTAACAATGCATATAAAGCCTTTCTGAGAAATGCAACCCTGCTACAATTTGTAAAACATAACTTTTTTAATCTTTTTTTCAGACCTGCTACAAACAATGCTCCAAAATAAGATTGACAACTTGTAAGGTTTAAAGGGACAAATTCTACCTAATTTCAGAATAAATTCCACCACTGCAATTGATACTAATTGTCACTTTATTTTTTCTTCATTTCACAGTCATAATTTTTCTGTTTCTTGTGATAAGGCATTTCATGCAAAAAGACAAAAACTTCTGTAAACTGTCAGGGGAAAAAATGACATTGCTTGTGCACAAAGTACTGTTCACCGAATAAGTTAGACTGCAAGACTACTAATACAATGTATCACTCACAGTTTTGTTAGGTGAACACCCAAAATATAAAATTAGTTGACCAAGTACTTTCAGCTGTATTCACTTGCAGGGTTTTTTTAAAATTTCACTAACTTCACGTACAGTATGATTGAAAATAAATACACATCCTTTTTAAGAAATTGTATTTTGAACTATTAATTTGGTCATAAATTTCATCTAAATGAAAGTGGTCAAAATTTTCCCCTTACATCTTACTTGAATGAAGGCAAACAACAGAAAATGTCTTCGTCATGACCAAAGCCAGGAATGCCTCCCATCCCACAATGCATGTGGATGGATTTACAACACACTAAATAACTTTACCTAACTTTTAAAGTAAATACAGTGGTAGAACTTCAGCGCAAAAAAAGTCATATGAATGCTAACGATGCTATTAAAACCTGTCCCTCCTGGAAACACACATTCCAGAACTGCATTTCTCTCTGTTTAAAATGTTTTCAAACTGCTGGCTAAGCAATGCACCAAGGTATTTTGATAGAGACATTCACACAATTTCACATTATCCTGTCAAGTACAGATAGCAAGTGTGATTTTCTTTCTGAATCATCTTATCTTGGAAGTCAATCTTTGCTGAGGTTTTAGGCATACCCTTCAGCTAAGTACATTTTTTGAGCCTCAAAAGTACTTCTTGTTCACTATGCCTGAGGGCACACTGGACTGGTGGGATATTAAGGACTGTTTTAGTGCTCCTTCTGCTAAAGATACTACAATATGCAGACCTAGAAATATTTATAAACAGGGTCCTTTACGTCTGTAACGGCCACCACATGGTATATTTATTAGGACTCTCTGACTGAGTTCTTGTAGCCAGACTAGACCAAATAACACCTGACAGAGCAGTAGAGTTCAAGCGAGTTACATCTTCATTCCCTGGTCTCAAAACCAACTGTCAACATTATTAAATTCTGATGTCCCTAAAAGTCTCTACAGGATCAGGAAGTGAATAATTACCAACAGGAAATACTGCCATTGCTTCACAGAATCCTTCAAAAATAATTTTGTGCATCTCTCTTTAAAAACGACCTCTAATGAGATTGTTTAGCTTTAGGGAGGCTTGGTTAAAGCTTGCTCTCGTACAGCCAGTTTGGGTCTCTGTGCACATCAATGCATCGTTCACAAGAATCAGCAGAAGAGAATAAATAAGTCCATAAAAACATCTATCATGTAAGTGGTTAAAATAACTGCAGAACTTACAGCACAGCATGACAAGACCCATGACATTCAATTTCTTCCCTCCCCACTTCCCATTTTTTTAAATGAAATACAAAAATACCTTAGTAACAGATATCACTTTATATCTTGGTGGAAACCTGCTGTCTCAGCCTGGAGAAGAAAAAGCTCAGGGGGATAATATCCATGTGTTTAAATAACTGATTGGCGGAGTAAAGAAGACAGAGCCAGACTTTTTAGGGAAGCCCAGTGATGGGATGAGAAGCACCATGCAAAAACTGAAATACTAGAAATTCCATTTAAATAAAGAAGAACCTTTTTTTTTTCTTCTACTGTCAGAGTTGCTCAACAATGGCAAAAGCTGCCCAGAGAGATTACGGAGTCTCCATCCTTGATAATACTAAAACGTGACTGGACATGACCCTGAGAAACCTGTAGTAATTGACTGTGCTTTGAGCAGGTGGAATAGATGTCTCCCCAGGTCCCTTCTGAATTCTACAGTTCTGTGATGCTAATATCACAGTAAACCAACTCAAATAAAGAAAAATTATGAATTACTGTTACAAGCACAGGTTCAAATTTTAAGTGCTCTTGACAACAGAAAGGAAATCAATCTTACTTCCTGTTTAATCCTTTATAGAAAACCAGTGCTTTAATTTTCTGCATGTATAATTCCATCTGCTGAGTCTCAGAAATGTTAGCAGTCAGAGCCTACATCTTGCACTAAGGTAAATGAGTAATTTTGCAATTCTTCAGCTAAAGATGAGTAATAAAATAATATACTGCACTACTACTCTGTGTTCTTGCTCCCGTTCCATCATTATAATTCCTTTTGTAAAGGTAAATATACAGCTTGCCAACACTCTTTGCCTCTAGAATCTGATATAACCTGATCACACACAAAACTGACACAGCAAGTTTAGTGACCCAGCAGAACAAAAAACAATCATGCATCTCCTTCAATCCCTCCTTATCATTACATGAATTTCTTCAGAATGCCTTAGAACAAAATCCTGTAAAGCAAGATACTGTTGTCCTACAAGCTTTAAAAAATATTAGTGGTATCTTGTGCAATAATACTTCTCTGAAAAAAAAAAAGTTTTTTCTGCTTTACTGTCCCAGAGAGTCAGTAGTAGAAGGTAGAGAATTCTCCAAATTCTCCAATTTCAGCTTTTCTTGAACGTTACCCACTAAAACATGCCAAAAGCAAGAGGGATAAACATCCTACATATAATCAAATTCCAAGTCATTACTGTATCTGTATCATAGCCTGAGTTTCAATCTTACAGGGCTGGGAGTGGGGACATTTCTTTCTGCTCCCACAGATGATGAGCAGGGTTCCAAATTGTATAGCTGAGTAATATTCTTCATCCAAGCAACTGAGATAGTTCAATATCAAGCAGAGAATCTCAAAGACTTGAGAAACTCAGACTGAACCCCATGCTTCCATTATGTATTTTTTCCACCCATGCTTAATCGCTACATTTTAAAGGAAAACAGTGGGAAATAAAATTCATTTATCAAGGAGAAAAAAGTTAGTTTGTAATCCTTGTAGAGAACAAGCAGGTGCAAAGAGATCTGAGAAGTATCTAATATAAATCTGACTAAAATTTTAAATGAAATGGAGATCAGTTGTCTTGTGTATTCATGAATGCAAGACACACAGAGATATATATCACAGACTTTATATTTAACTGCAGAGTTACTCCTACCGTGTTGTTGTATTACTTTTTCTATGAATACACAATCTTTGTCTTGAAACAGTCTCACTTTACTGCCCTATCAATAGTAGTAATTTCAGAATTTCATTCTGTGACCAATTTAGACACTTGACCTATAGCATTATTATTTTTTAATTTAAATAATTTGTCTCCCTTTGCAGTATTTCCTCCATTAATATATGTAGAAAGTCAAAATCCCATAAAGAAACATGACTTTGAAACAGTAATAATTTGAAAAGCATGCTGCAACCTTGACATCAAATAATAATCTAATTTGTCTTCTGGGATACACTGCACAAAATAGAAAGGTAATAATAAAAACAAGTTGAATGGTAATAGTAGCACTTGAACGATGTAGAATTAATTTAGACAGTCTCCAGCCATTTTCATTTTAACTGTGTGACTTGTAATAAATTAAAAAATATATATATACTGAAGCACTTACAGACACCTGGAGAGAATTGGCCAAATGCTGACAATGCTGGCTTTTCCTTTAGTTGTTGAATTAAGTGATGTATTGCCTTCCAGTCAGCATTCAAGTCTTCTAATTTTTTCTAGAATAAAACATAACAATATATTAAATTTATAATACATAAATTAATGTATCATAGAATTATTTGGGTTAGAAGGGACCTTAAAGATCATCTCCCCTCCCACCATGGGCGGGGATGACACCCACTAGATAAGGATGCTCAGGGCCCCATCCAACCTGGCCCTGTATTGTAAATAAATTACACCTTTGTAAGGAAAATAGGATGACTTCTTCTTTAACATATCGTAGAGAACTCTGGCTTTTAATAACTGTAACCTGAGATGTTAATTTTTTTAGTTAAAATGGAAAGGTGAATTATGAATTTCAAAAAGCTTATCAATAAAACCTCTGCATTTGTAACATCAAATGCAGAATTCATTCTTCCACCTATTAAAAAAAAAGAAAAAAAAAAAAAGGAAAAAATGAAAAAGAAAGTTTTAGGACTCTTTAGGGAGTCACAAACTTCAGTGTGTGTGTGGGCACACAATCCTGATCAGTAATGGCTAAACTGTTCCTTTTAAACAAAACCTGCGTGAAAGTTTAAACTGTGAATAACATCAGTCCTCAGATAACCCTGAGAGGCATTTAGGTTTGAAAATGTTCTTTCTGCCTCCTTTTTCCCTGGCTTTAAGGACTGTAAAGAAGGATGAAACATTGCTAATTCTATGCTGACATCTCTAAACTCTTAAAATGAAGGCTGCATTTCCTTTTAAGCTTCTCCCTGACCGTCTTCTACAAAAAGCAACAAAGAGTACCAGTGCCACTCAGGAATGCTGTTAGTATTCTATGGTTCCAATCCACAGCTAGGTATTTAGTATAAATCACAATCCAGCTGTGATGGAAACTGGATGCCTATTAAGCAAGATATTTTAATTACCTAGAGTCTAAGACATCAAGGTTCAACAGGAGAGGGATAGAGAACAAAGTTCATTAAATTGATGTGTGTAGACATACACACACAGATTCTGAGATAACACAGTTTTATATTCTGATATGTCAGGGGACTGTTTTTAGAATTTGCCTTAAGCTTTGCCATAAGTACTCTAAATCTGTAAAGTTATTTTCTATCCAACAGCAATGGAGGCCAGAATATTATCTGGTATAAACTCTAGTCAGATTTTTGGTTAAATGGTTTTCTATAGGGCAAGAGAGAAAGGATACAATTCTGCATTACGGAATATACCAAATTTTTATCTTTAGAAGCAGTTTAAAAACTCCACTAAAAAAATTAAAAAGTCATGCATATCAGATATTCTCCTCGATAATAGACTATGAGGAGTAGGCAGAACGAACAACTGGGCATGTGGGATAAACATAACTTGTATGACAATTCAAAATCATAGATATGTTTTATATCTGTATGGATTACAGTCACACAGAAATGCACACTTTGGACACAGTTATGGCAGATTTTAAAGTTCTTTTCTTTTCCCCTGCTTCCCCCCCCACCCCCTGTTTTTTCCCCCTGCTGCTGTAGCCCAAGAACCTACTTCCAGAGCAAAAATGTGAAGTATTGCTCCAATATCTATTAATTTAATAGTTGCACAGAGTGGTTTAAAAGCAAAAGCTGGAGAGATTACACTATCAAAGTCTGGTTTATTTTACAATACAGTCACAGTAACTCAGGAAGGAGATGTGAATGTAATATTTATAATACTGGTCTTTGTTAGGAGTAATGCCTTACCATTCACAGGTATATGAGCCAGACCTTTCTTTCCAGCAATGACAAAACATAAAACATGCCCAACCACAGACATTAGAGTCTGAGGCAACATCTGCACCACTGAGACGAGAGTAGCCAGTTCTAAACTCTTCGATCAAAATTATAGTTTGATCTTGCATCTGGCATAAATTAGTATGCATGTATTAAATTGTTAACTTCTTTGAACATAACAATTTTCATTTAATTGCAACTCTAGAGCTTTGGTGACAAGCATGAGCATCAAAATATATTGCATTGAGGACAAATGTTACATAATTTATTTAAATGTCATCACTGGTGCAATTTAAGTGAGGTTAACTTTCATACATGAACCAATTTCACTGACAGCCTAAATATAGATATGAATATTTGGAGAAAGAAATGATTCAGTCTTTTAAAAGTAAGACTGAGGACAATGCAAATGAGTTCCTCACTACTTCGCACCCATGAGAGGAAAAGACAAACTGAGTCCTGTGGTAAGGGAACCAAAGTTCTTCCACTGCCACAGAAATCCCTTCCTGAATAAACTGCTCTGAATAAGTGCAGTTAATCATGAGAATGGGGCTTACATTCTTTCTATTGCCACTGACACCAGCAGTAACCTCTCTCTCCCTCACCTTCAAAAGCTTTACAGAAATGCATTTCAAAAGCCTGAAATCCATTTTATAAAAGTGAATAGGTCTGATTACTAAAGTGCTAGTGCTTAAAGGATCACACATCTCATCCCATTCTTGCCTCTTGAATCAGCATATACTAGGATTTCATTTGCCAACAAAAATGTTTTTACAGACTTGCATTGCAAAATTCTATTTTACTATGCTTAGTGTAGGTGTGAAAATACACTTACTTCAGTGACATAACTGTGAGATAAGATTGTGTCAATATAAATCCATGGGATTTAATTTACATTCAAAACACTATAATGAAAATATATTATAAAGGTTGCAAAGATAAGCAGCTAAACATTAGGAAATGCCAGAATGACATTAACTATGAACATTATTTCAGATAAAATGCACATAATTGCACTGATATCTTTAATTTTCTGGCACATACTGCTTTTGAGCACAAGAAAGGCTTGCAGTGAGAATAAGTCAATAGGACCTCTACTTCATTTATTGAAAAGAATGTGATGATTTGTGGTAAGTAAAAGGAAACAAGGGAGGAAAAAAAGCACCTAAGAAAAATTTGCCTCAAAAAAAATTATTGCCTAAATAATCTACAAAGTTGTTAAGCAATGCTATGCAACTAATTAATGCTTTTAAAAAGGCCACATAATTTTATCTTTTTTTTTTTCTTCTGTGCCACACACTAAACAAGGACTATGAGTGTAAGTGTTGAATTGCTGTTTGCACTGGGAGTGTTGTCTGTATCCTGCACTGAATTAGGCACAGTTCAGCCTAGACCAGGGGCACCAGAGTAGATTTAACTGAAGAATTTTTTTTTAAATTCTGAGGTATTAACTTTGCAAACTTGCTAAGGAAAACACCCAACACAGAGCTAAAAACTTTGCTTCTGCCCACTCAAGTCACCTTCAGTTTACCTCTTCTAGCATTTTACCCCTGTTTAGGAGACCTGATCATTTAAAATGCACAGATACCAAAGGGGAAAATAACTCCTATGGATTTCTGCTTAAGAAAGAAATGGAACCAAATCATTCTTAAACATGTATTAATTTCTAAAGTGGATACAAGTTTATTCATGTGTTCCTGTGAATGGAGATGTGCTGGTGGGATAAGTAGTTCAGAAGAGGTTTTGTAAAAGTAGGAAAATACTACTTCAACTGTAGTGACTAAATATGGATGGTAAAACCAAGAAATTCACTGCAGAGATCACCTATAGACATCCTAACTTTGCGAAGAAACCTTTTTCTGTAAATTGAGGTTATTGAGTAATCTATGTTTGGAAAAGCTTTAAAGACAAAGTTTGCTACCTCTGCTTAGTCAGAAGCAATTGCAGTAGATACTTAGTGTAATAAACAAGCTACTATTACATTATATACATGTTCACATGTATTATCATGTTCAGAGATACTCCATTAGAAGTTATAAAACTAGAAACCAGATCAAAGTCTGGTTGGTATAGTAGTGACCTTACTAGTTTGATCTCCTGCTCCAAAAGTAGCAGAACTAGACATGGAAGAATGTTTGGTGATGACTTTCTGCTTCAAGATTCCAATGACAGTGAATACAAAATGACACTCTAGCTTCAGTGAATGTCCATGTAGTCTTTAGGAAACAGAGTGTAAAATATCTTCTTATAACTAACTTCTATCTTGAAGAAAAGGATTTTACAGTACATAAAGAGAAGTGTTGGGAGGCATAGCCTTCCTAATAGTGTGTCCTCTGCTCCAAAACAGAATCAAGTCAGTCATTCTAGATAAATTTTGGGAAAGAAATAAAGTGGGGAAGTTCTGTGTTGCTAGGTGTTCTTTCCTTCAAACAGAAAAAAAAAATATAAATAAAGCAAAGTATCCTTTTTATCTCGACTCTTACCTTTTCTAGTAAATTTGCTTATGTTTTCTTTTATATGACAAAATTTCTGAAGCTGAAATTTAAAATAAAGCACTTTAAAAACATGTTATATGTTGCCATTATTAGGCACCAAAAATTATATTTGCTTTCAGAGTGAATACTCTTGAATGAGTAGAGCAACCTTAACATCAAAAACAATATTCCTGTCACAATACACACAAAAAAACATTCTAGCTGGGAACATTACATTTTCCCTGGCTATGCCATCACAGAACAGAACAAATGCCATTTGCCAGGTTCTTTCATTGATTTTAAACAGAGCACATCAAGGACAAGTGTACAACAGGGGAAGCATAACCCATTACACAGTAATGGATATTGCTATAGGTTGCTTCATTACCTTTACTGGATGAGTAGCTGGTTTTTCCTTATATAAATGACACCCTTTAGACAAAACCTCTTCCACATTCGGCTGTTTAGCCTGCACTGCTGCTTCAGTTTCCTGAAAAATAAAAACACATGCAGTCCAGATTAACTATAGCATAAGCAGTAAGACTGAACAGTCCTACAGCTCCATGGGACACTGTGAAACACCAGTGGAGTAGTTTCTGCTCACAATTGGTGTGTGGAGCAGCTAAAGACAAAGAGGATCACCAAAGTAAATAAAAGCAAAGAGGGATGGAATAGAGTAATGCTAGCAAAATAAACAGTGGTAGGTCACTTCATCCTGAAGGTTTCAATAAAATGATTAAAAAGCTAACACAGATTCATAGTAGGAAAGACAGGCATGAGAAATCTCATTTAAGCAGCTCTGTCCTTTTGTCTGTTTTACATCACCAGCAGATAAAAGGTGCACTGGTTAACATTTTGTTCATACAACACGTGGCATTAAAACGGTATAATGAGATGTGACAATGATACTGAATTTACAAAGATAAAAAGAGTTAAAAGAAAATTACTATTATGAGTAGTAAACTAGCACTTGTGTAGGAAAAGCCTTACAGTAATGAATTAAAAAGAAAACCACAACAGTAGTCACAATTCCTGAAGGTAAGAGAAGGCACCTTCCATTAGCAACAACACCCTCCTGAATCAACAACAGGTTATTCTCTAACAATTTTTTAATCTGGAAAGGTGTAATCCATATCCTAACATAAGTAAACTCCAAGCAACCCTTTCCAGCATACAGAGGCTTCATTTCAGGCAGACCAAATGAATAATGGGTGAAGCACTTCATATAGATAACTTAAAGGAAAAGACACCCCAAAACTCACAAAAAACAGCCAAACAACCAACTAAACCCCAAACCCACTAATAATTGCCAAAGAAAAGATAAACTACACCTAGACTTTAAAGATTCAATTTATTTCATTTTGCTAGTAATATAAGGAAAAAAAAATCTGCTTTATCAAAATTTTTGGTTGGGATTTTTTTGTTTTTATCTCTTCATTCCTCACCCATCTACTTTATAGCTTCACTTCCTTGTCCTAAACAATATTGCTGACTGTCCATTGACCCTCCAACTTAATTTTCTGCCCACAGTCTCAGTTATTGTTAATGTGACAGTAGACAAGATTGTGTGTCAGGTATGTCACTATCTGAGCCAACACATTATTTTATTGGTGGAAATCTGCTGTTCTTTTTACTGCAATAAACTTGTTGAAATCTGTGTCAGTTTAAGTCTCAACAAGGGGCCATTTTGCTCCTGTGTTTCAGCTCAACATATAAATTGTGTCTATATTGATGCCTGAAATGTTACTTGCAAAACTTTATGGACAATCAGTAAAAATAAAAAGTTGATAAATTCCATATCATCTTTCAATTTTCTTTTCAAATACTGTTTATCAACAGCAAATGAACTGAATGAAAGCTTATCTGATGTCTTGCAATGATATTTGAAATATGTTTGAATTTAATTGTGTTTTGTTCTGCATTTCAATATTAATGAGATACAACTGTAAGGATTCATAGAGAATAAGCACTTAAAAGCAATGCACAGTAAAACTGGGATATTGGGGGGTAGAGAGGTGAGATTTTATTAACCTGTTGATCAACTCCTCATTAAAGTATTATTTTGTTTCTGTTTCCATACTAGGTTAGCTTTCGACTTCCCTTCTCAGCATATAAAGAAAAAAATAATAATCAAGGAGCGTTAATGAAGAGGTAATTTTCTGGCTATCTTGATGAAAGATAAGAATCTTAATATTTATTTATTTAGTTGTTGTTTTGTTGGTTTTTTCTTTGTTTGTTTTTAAATGAAGCCATCTGCAGTATTAGGTCAATGTTTTCTGTTTTGTATTTCTACGCATCTCACATACTCGTTTTATAAGAGCATTAAGTATCATAACAAAATCTGTAGCAGGAAAAGCACATTAAAACACCCTGTAAAGTTCAAGAATATCAAGAACACTATTGGTTTGCCTACATTACTGGTTGTAGTGGTTTTAAGTCTAGGCCTTTCAGGAGGGTTTCTAAAGCTTTGCCATGTGTTTGAACAGGCTGGGTTTGTAATAACAGCCATTAATGGTCAGGTTCCACCACAAGGAACTGGAAATTCAAACCAAAGAAGAACTCGGCTAGGATGGGCACTCCAAAGTAATCCAAAGGACTGTTCACAACAGGGATTACTACTCAAGTCCTGTAGCTGTAACACAATTTGGCTGCTCAGTATTTATTTGTACTCTACCTTCTACATTGAAATGTGAATCATGATTCACCATATGTAAACATATAAATAGGCTAATTTCTCCTTTAAAATTAAGAGAAAAAGAAAAAATGCAAAATTAATAACTGATGGTACCATGTGACTCCCCATTCTGCAAAAAAGTAGAAAACACTGAACAATCCTTGTCATCACTATTGTCATTATTTTAATAATTGTCATTATTTATGCTAATACCAGTATACACAACACATTAAAACTGAGATATTCCATTTTTACATATTATATAAACATTTTAAGATGTATTCTTTATAGATTCAAAAGTTATTTGTTCTTTATGAACAGAATAAAGGTATACATTTCCATAGCTAGGTAACAGCAATGTAATGTATTTAGTTGTTAAATCACAAATTCCTTCTGCTCTACAATTTTCTGGAGCCATATGAACTAATCTTTTGTAATCTGATCTTTCAAATTCAATGGCCTTGACCTAAACCAAAATGCATTGTGCAAGTTTATCCAATTTAGCATGATGCTTCATTTGAGATATATTTGGAAAAAAGACTAGAGATAAGAGTCCAGGGGAAAAAGAGATTCTCAGTATCTTGAATTCTACACAGTGAGCAAGTTTCCAGCAGTTTCAAATCCATTTGCTATGTGACACCCTGTTAAGGTAGGTCAACGGGTCAACCTCAAGAGAGGTTTCAGGATTCTGCTCCATCACTCAGTTCCCACAGAGAAGAAAATAGTAGTGACTTGCATCATGGCATCCAACTCCTTCACTCACAACTCTTTGTTATCTCTCTGCAGTCATCATCTGGGCTGTGTAGGATCCAAGAGAAGGGCACACTCCCAGAGCAGGGCCTGGCTACTACTCAAGCTAATAGGAATTGTCAACACCCATGTCAATCAGTTTTTAGAGAATACCAAAGTCATATCTTTTCAAAAGTCCTGATTCAAACCCTTTGCCATACTCACTTTGCTTGTTGTGGAAAGATGCAGAACTGTCTCTGGGAGACAGAGCTGACTCTACTGGCATTGTACAATTTATGAACTGCCTGGGAAAGCAACTGCAATGCTACTTCTGGGCTGGATGACGAATATGCTAATTAACTTTTCACACATATGGCAAATTAAAATACATCATAGTTGGAAACTGCTGTTTCTCAAACATGTATAAACAACAATTGGAGGCTACCTTTTTCCGTGACGCACCATCTATGAATTTTCAGTGGTGTTAAAGTGGTGCATCCAAACTGATAAAAGCCTGCTGCTGGATAAGCCACATTGGCTTCTGCATTTCCAACAACATGTCAATTCAACCTGCTGAACAAAGTCACAGGCTGAAAAAGTGGCAAGGACTTGTCTACAGCCCCATCTGGACTATGAAAGTCTGTTGATATAGCTCAGAACTTAGAAAATTCATATTCCTTAGCTGAAACCAATATATTGGCTAAACCTCTGGTGTGTATGCCAATGGAAGATAAAGTTTGATGGCTTGGCATATGTTATTTCAAGAGATGGTGACTATCCTAGCAGACACAGACAGGCTGTTTGACATATGCTGCACATATATTAGGAGGCCCAGTCAACTATCTGTAAACGTATCTGCAGCATTTCTGACTGTGTATTGGTCTATATTAAGAATCACAAGCACTGATTCACCTTTTGCTAACGCAGGTAAAGCTTTTGGGATCAATTTCCCAATGAGGTTACATCCATTAGATATGTTCTGCATGGACTGCAGGAGAAGCTCAGAATGATTAAACTTATGTCTTCATTGTGAAATACAATGCAAAAATGGAACCTTAATTACAATAGTCAAAGAAAATTTAAAAAAAGGAAACAGTTTGAAATTAGTATTGTGAGTTGTTTTAAAAGTTGTGACCTCTCTTTTAGCAAGACATTAAATCAAGATTAAACTTATTTTTTATGTATTTATAAAAACACCTTATATTATCTTTTACAGTAGTGGCCAGGTAGAGTCCCAGTTGAGCTTTCACCTTACTAATTTCCTCTCTACATGACCTAACAACACCATTGTACTCTTCCTTAGTTGCCTGACCCTTCTTCCAAAGGTCATAAACTCTCTTGTTTATTGTGAGTTCCAGCAAAAGTTCCCTGCTCAGTCAGGCTGGTCACCTTCCCCGATGGTTCTCTTTTGGCACATAAGGACAGTCTACTTCTGTGCTTTTAAGAGTTCCTTCTGAAGGATGTCCAATCTTCTCGGACCCCTTTATCAGTAACAACCATTTCCCAGGGCACTCTCTGAGCCAGTACTCTGAATAGGCCAAAGTCCACCCTCTGGAATTACAAGGGAGAAGTTTTGTTGACTCCCTTCCTTACTTAACCAGAATTGAAAATTCCATCATTTCATGGTCACTAAGTCCAAGACAGCCTCCAACCACCACATCTCCCACCAGCCCTTCTTACCCACAAACTCAACCTTATCATCACTGTCCTTGAGCTCTATACAGGCAAAACACTCCCTAATATACAGAGCCATCCACTGTCCTGAAGTCCTTTTTGACTGGCCTAGGATTTCTCATCACTGCTGACTTGGACAACCAGAAGTGGGCAATAGTAAGAGGACCAAATCAGTCCAAAGAGTGTCCTAGTAATATCTCTTATTGAGACTTCCCCATGGGATGGATCTGGTTTGCATATAGGACCCTCAGTTCCCTCAGAAGAGAGTCACCTACAACAATTACCCTTCTGTCTTTCTTAACAGCCGTAAATGTGAAATTCCAGTAAGGTTCATTGAAACATTCACGCCTATCTTTCAGGTTACTATTCCCACACATTAATGAAAAAACTATAAATAAATGGTAAGGTCCTGT